TTTGTTATGCTGTGGTCAGAGGACCCAAGGCGTGATCCCCGGGTTTGTGGTCGAGCCTCCATGGACACTGTCGGATGTCTAGACAGGGACCATATCCGCAGAATCGGGCGCTGGAGTGGTGAAAGGCCGTGTCATGGGGCTCGTCCTGACGTCTGCTTGCAGGTGACGCGCCCGATATCGATAAGAGCTCGGCTACGCTTGCCCAAACGCCAAATAATCTACACCTTTGCTTCCCCGTGACTTGATCGCCAATGCGCAGCACCACTCACTCAGATCATGTCGGTAAGCTACTTTCAGGAGCGCTCATCCCCAGCTCCTCAGAATGGCTTGTCTCCAGCTTCTCCGTCGGTGGGATCCGCTCCGAGGGGAGCAAGCACGCTCTCCAGCAGGATCACCAGTGTGCTGTCCTCTTCGTATGCCGACCTAGAGATCCGTGATGCTCTCGAGACACTGGATGCTCGTAAAGTACAAAACACCGCAGAGACAAGACGCCAAATTCGACTTGATGTTCAAAAAGAAGTCATTCAATGTAACGGCGAAATTGTCCAGGATTTTGGTGTCGTAGCGGAGGTTTGTTGCTTACGCCAGTACATCTCAAACTGTTCACTAAATGCCGGCAGCAACTGAAACGCATCGGGACGGCCATCAAAAGTCTAAACGACTATTGTGATGATATGCGTAGCCACATTGAATCTTCAAATAAAGAGACTGGTCCCGTTCTCGAAGAAGCGACAAGCCTCATCAACCAAAAAAAGCAGGTGGAATCAAAACAGCAGATCCTGCACGCCTTTCACTCTCATTTCCTCATCTCTGAAGAAGATATTACGGCACTGACTTCGACCGCTGAGCCCGTAAACGAAGATTTCTTCCAAGTTCTGACAAGAGTGAAAAAAATCCATCATGACAGCCAAGTCCTTCTTGGGACGGAAGACCAACGACTCGGATTGGAAGTGCTAGAACAGAGCTCTAAGCAGTTGAACTCAGCCTTTCAAAAACTCTATAGATGGATTCAGCGCGAATTCAAGACTTTGGATTTGGAAAACCCTCAAATCAGCGCTTCTGTAAGGCGGTCTCTACGAGTGCTAGCGGAGCGCCCGACGCTGTTTCAGAGCTGCTTAGACTCTTTTGCTGAAGCTCGCGAGTCTATACTGTCAGACTCGTTCCACGCGGCCCTGACTGGGTCTAAGACTGAAGAGCACATTGCGACCAAACCTATCGAGTTTTACGCCCATGATCCCCTACGCTACATTGGTGATATGCTAGCGTGGGCCCATTCGACCACTGTATCTGAGAGGGAGGCGCTAGAGAACCTATTCATCTCAGATGGGGATGAGATCAAACGCTCCATCCAAGAAGGCCTTGAAAGCGAACCATGGCTCAAAGATGACGGAGACGAAGAGGTATTCGACGGGAGGAAAGCCCTAAGTCAATTGGTCAGCCGCGATTTGTCAAGCGTTGTGCGTCTCCTGAGGCAACGAACCGAGCAAGTCATTCAAAGCCATGATGATGCTACTCTGGCTTACAAGATCGCGAATCTTATCGGCTTCTACAAGGGTACCTTCGTCAAATTGCTGGGTTCAGACTCTGAAGTGCTGGAGATTTTCAATGGCCTCGAGGCATCCGCCATGAGACAATTCCGGGCTAACATGAGAGACTACGTTGCCAACGTTCAGAGCGACCATGCCGTAGCACCTGCAGACTTGTCGCCTCCTGACTTTCTGGAAGATGCGTTACAAATCCTTAAAGTGCTTGCAAAGAGCTACGATACTTCAGTTGCGTCCTTGGACGACCAGGGCCATGAATTTCAGGCTGTACTTGCGGAAGCGTTAGATCCGTTTTTGAGCGGCTGCGAGAATCTGCAGAAAGGAATGGAGCAGCCGGACGGTGCCGTGTTTGCCATCAACTGCCTCTCTGCAGTAAAGGACGGACTTGTGTCCTATACCTTCGCCAAAGGTCGGATCAGTGATCTTGATGCCACGATTGAGAAACACGTTGCAAAGCTGATCGAGTACCAACACCAATATCTCATCTACGAATCTGGCCTATTATCTCTAGTTGGAGCTCTTTCGACGATCGATGACACTGAAGAAAGCCTCAAAAAGATCCCAGAGCTCGAACCGTTCAAGCCTGAGGCCCTTGTAGCAATAAGCCAACAGCTCGACGAGTTTCTGCCCTCTGCACTCCTTGATGCATCGGAAAACCTCAAATCATTGAGAAATCGAAGACTGATACAGAACATTACAGAAGAAGCGGCTGGCAAATTTTGTACGGATTTTGAATTTGTCGAGCGTAAGATGGCTGCATCGGACGATCTAACCTATGATGAAGAGAAGGATGACGAGGAGCAAGAGCCAGGACTGAGAGACCTGTTTCCCAGAACCAGTGGAGAAATCCGAGTGTTGTTGAGTTGAACCCATACAAAAGTGGTAAAAAAGACTATTGTAGTAAAATCCAATACCCAAAATATTGCATCTTAAACAACTCTCTATAATTCGTCTCCGTGTGCGTTTCATTCATCCAAACGTCTGTTCATACACTCATGGACTCATCAACCATCTTTCATCCTTCCTGAGATACGGCTCTCAGATGCCGGATCACTGCGGTCTTTTCTTCTCCCACTCCTCTGGCGTATGGCATTTCGGCGTCCAGGCGTGTATCGCAGCAATCTCGTCTTTCAGAACAGCATTTACTAGTCGATGCCTTGCAAGTGTTGTTTTCTTTGTGAATTGTGGTGATACAATAATGGCCTCAAACATCTGCCCACAGCCACCTGCATTGGTAATCCGTTAGCTTATGGCCTTGACGTGACCCTGAAGCAGATCCTGCGCGATATGATAAACGCGCTTGAGAATCTTCTTGACCTTGGGAACTTGAATTCAAAAACATTCATATCCAAGGTAGGCCTCGATGTCATGGCAGCTCGGCACACTTTCCACTCCACACGTCATATAAGCTCCCAACAGATACTGCACCTCCGCGACCCCGCTTTGAGCAGCACATATGCAGGCGGAACTTTGCAAAATACAATTTCTCAGGACGAAGAGCCCACAGTAAGAAATGATCGGAACGTACCGCTCATATCCTCGATCTCCACCCAGGTCGCACTCAATTCCGTCTCCAGCTTCGTCTTGATCGCTTCGGGGGTTACGCCGGAGCTAGCTGGCACTTGGGTCGCTTCGACACCCTGCATCGTGTCTGGGTCCTCTGAATCAACCGCGAGTTTGTCGAGGGTTTTGTAGAGTTTGTGTCGAGGATCCATTGCGCTGGACGGTGCGATAATCGTTTTGGGCTGCGTGGTTCCTATCTTCGGATCTGATAAGATGGACGCCGAGCGGCAAGTTCTCGGGGTTTGGAGGATGTGTGTGAGGAAGAGGCAATGACGTGCGGGAGGGGTCTGTGCGAGAAAAGATGCAGAGATGCAATAACGCAGGTAGCCTAAGACGATTGGCGCGCGATTGCAGTAAACCATCTCTCACGCGTCTTGAGCGGCAATTGCATGTTTGTGTCTCCACTACGACGCTTCGCCATGAGTGCACAAGCAGCTGCACCCTTCTCCCAGGCTGTCGTGAGGGCCATGCGGAAGCTGTGGGTTCCATCAGAGTCCCCGCGAAACTCCAGCTGACCTGTGGAGCTATCCGCAAGCCCTCGCAGACAATTCCTGGGATAACACTGGCCTGCTGCTTGAGGCGCCTTTCGTCCCATCCCGCCGGCAATCGAATACTGTCCTCCTCACCATCGATCTTACCAAAGCCGTGGCCGACGAAGCGATTGCGCTCAACTCTTCCATCGTCATTGCGTACCACCCAATCATATTTAGGGGCCTCAAGTCCCTCACGTTCGCAAACACCCAACAGCAAACACTACTACGCCTTGCTAGCCATGGCATTAGTGTGTACAGCCCACACACTGCAGTCGATGCTGCACCGGGAGGCCTGGGAGACTGGCTAGCAGATATAGTCACGGCAACAAAGTCTAGCAACAGTGATGCCGATGTGTCTCCAGAAGCGACTCCGCAGGGCAAGAAACAAGAAGTCGATGACGATGATCCGTTCATCGAGAAGAAGCGTCCAGAGTACACCTTGAACCACCACCCAAGCCAAACATTACTGCGTTTCTCGAAGCAATCGCCCCCAGCCATCACGACCGTCCCACACACAAGACGTCCAGTTGTCCCTCAATCTCCTGAGCTGGAATCACACCCGGGGGCAGGAATGGGACGCATCGTCCAGTTCAAAGAGCCACAACCCCTGACAGCACTCCTCGACCGCATCGGAAAGGGCTTGAACAACCCCAAAGGTTTCCCTATCGCCATTCCACAAGGCAAAACCATTTCAGACATTAGTATACGCAGCGTGGGAATATGCGCAGGCTCAGGAGCATCGCTACTCAGCAATGTCGATGTTGATCTATTGTTCACAGGTGAAATGAGCCACCATGAAGCACTCGCAGCCATTGAGAAGGGGCAAGTGGTTATCAGTCTATTCCACAGCAACTCCGAGCGAGGTTTTTTGGCAGAGGTATTGTTAGGGCAGCTAGAAGAAGCTGTAAGCGACGAGTGGTCGAAAGTCAGGGATGAGGGGAAGGACAGCGAGGAGCTAAAGGAAGCGCTCGCAGACGAGGACTTCGAGATTGCGGTCAGCGAGGTGGACAGAGATCCGTATGGTATTGTAGTATTGAAGAGCGAGGCAGAGTAGTGCCTATAATTCAGGATTAGAATCACAGGAAAATTAAGCCAGCCTGAGTGTGGAGGTGTCGCAGCCTGGGTCCCCCTGGTTGAACTCGCTCCGTTGGTCTTGGTTCCGACAATCGGTCGATCGCCCCCCACCCTAGCCCCACACACAATGAAAATTGCCTGACTCACCCCTGTGAAACAAGTTGTTCTAGACGACGTGTCAACTACGCATTATCCACATAGAGCGTTTTTAAAAGCATGCATATAGGTAAAATAATCGGAGAAAACACCATCAGTTAAGTCTGCCACAAACGCATTCAGCGTTTAATCCTCCGTGGCGCAATTGGCTAGCGCGTCTGACTGTTACATCGTAGCACATCAGGAGGTTGAAAGTTCGAGCCTTTCCGGGGGAGCATGCGATTTTTTTGTATTTTTTTTGCGCCATTTTTCGAGACACACGTGACAGAGTGCCTCTTGGTTATGGTAGAGAGGCTGTACATAGCAAAATATATACTACCTATTGAGTTTTCAGAGGTGATAAAGTAAGCTTCTTTTTTGGTTACCGAGTTGGTGGGCTGATTGCGATACTGACCGAAGCAATTATTTGCCGTTTCATGCATTCAATAGGGTGCATTCAAACTTCTTGTGTAGATAGAATCTTCAAGCATTCTAGAAGCTAAGAGGAGCTCAGATTCCCGCTACAGTCTATCCTTTCGTTCTCTCTTCTTCCAGCACATCCATCAATCTCCGGGTAAGACGATCCCGCTCTTTCGTATCAACAGTTCCATACTCTTTCTTCGCCTGAGCAAACACATCATCCTCCCATCCATCTCCCACATTCACACGCCCAGAATCGTCCCAGCATTCCTGCACCGTCCCACCAATGTTCTTGAAAAAGCCCTCCAAGCCTGCCTGCCCACCACCAGCATGGTAACTCTTGAACGGCCCGGCAACAGCCCACCGAGGCCCCATGCTAGACTCTACAATCTTGTCTAATTCGCCTACTGATACTACGCCTTCATTGACGAGATGAATCGCTTCTCTCAGCAATGCAAACGCTAGCCTATTTGCAACAAAGCCAGTGGTTTCCTTCTTGATGTGGATCGGCACTCTTCCTCTCGCCGTCCAGAAATCCTGGGTCCTTTGGATGACTTCGTCTGAAGTTTCTGGTGAAGGGACCAGTTCAAGAAGCGGCATAATGTGTGGCGGATTGTAAGGGTGCACGACGAGCAGCCGAGTCTTGTCTTGCATATCCTGCGCTTGCTGAGACGCAGGGATACCAGATGTGCTGCTCCATAGCAACGCTGTCTTCGGTGCATATACCTCGACTTGACTCCAGAGCTTCTTCTTGAAAGGGAGATTTTCGGGCCCGGACTCTTGGACTATGTGAGCGTCCTTGACCGCATCTTCGAGCGATGTGACGAGCCTGAGGCGAGATTTCACTTCTGGTTGTGATTGGCCCTGTTCGCCTTGAGGAAAGAATTTCGGCAGATTCTCTGCAACATAAGATGCAATGTCCGGTCGTGTGTCATATATTGTTATTTGAGAAGATAGCGGGAGATGGGAGAGATGAAATGCAGCAAAGCTAAGGCCTATGGTTCCGGTACCAATCAGCGTAATGTTTAGATCTTCGCTAGTCGCCATGTCGATATCACTCTGATCTGCAGTCGCAAAGATTGGATAAATGTAAGGATGTGGACAAAGTGGAAATCAGGAGACACTCGGGAAAAAAGCGGGGTTTAAGATACGTCCGCAATCAAATATAAGAGGAAAAGAGCCCATGCCATTCAGAGCAAAATGAGACGAATATATAATTTCCGAAGAAACGGATGTTTTTGAACTCCTCACAGCTCAATGAGAATGTTCTTACGATTTCCGTGCTGCCTTCGGAGTGGAAGTAACCTCGGCCGATGACATCATCAGTTGTTCAAGCGAGTCAACTTAGCTTTGAGTAAGACGGAGTCGACTCGATTGCTTGTAGCCTCTTACTATGGAGGTTATGCGCTACTATGAGGTACGGTCCAGCTCAAGACAATACGTTAGTCAGGTGGTTGCAAAAAATGGCAAGTTTACGAATCTCTAGTTCGATTAAGAAATGCTGACTCAAGCACACCGAAATTATTTGAACATAGAGCTAATTTTTAGCTATATGATTTCTACTCAAATCTGACGCTGACCCAAGTCGATTTATTGTCCACATATTGATACATGTCTCAAACGTCATGCTGTGCCTCGGATTTCATCTGTTCGATTTCGTCCGGAGTGAATGTTCCCATGCGCCTTGGAGGTACTCGGTGCTCGAAGAGCGTGTTGATCTGATCGAAGGAGCGATTCTTCAGTTCAGGAATGTAGAAGAAACAGACTGCGGTAGCAATTGCTGCGAGACCTCCGAAAATAAATCCGACTTTACCTTTCAAGTCGGCTTGATCAGGATTAACCATGTAGGGAATAGCGATGTTCTGTACAGATCGTCAGTTAGAAATTCCTTGGAAGAAAGTCATGAGTGGGGAGGTATGTTACCATTGCGATACCCAGAACAGACTGAGTGGCAGTTGCGAGTGCAGTAGTATGTCCACGAAGTGAAGGGGTCGAAGTCTCACCAAGGAGGACAAATGCAAGCGCTCCAATGGTGTTGAAGTATACGAAAGCGTAGATGACTGTTGCCGCCGCTTGAACCCATTTAGCGGCATCTGAGGACACGACGTCCTATAGAGCATATTAGGTCAGTGGATGTTTTGATAGCGATTTCAGGACGGGTCTCTTACCATGATACCAATGAGCATGAGAAGACCGGTGAGAACGCCCATTCCAAGTATAAAGTTGTTTCGGCGTCCGAACCTGTTTACCGTGAACCAGGAGAGGAAGTTACCAAGGACACCACAAGCAGTAACTCCAACACCAAGGTCGAAGCTGCGAGCGGGATTCAGACCAGCCAGCTGGAAAAAGTAGCTACTGTACCCAAGGACGAAGATAATACCAACTAAATGCTGGCAAGCGAAAACTCCAGTGGAGATACCGGTTCGGACCAGATTGGTGCCGCGAAAACATTGGAAGATACTTGGAGCGTCCTCTTCGGCGTGTTCCAGATGACTTTGCTTCATAGCGGCCACTTTGACGGTCGTGTCTTTTTGCTTACCCCATAGCTTTCTCATTGCTTTCTCGGCATCTTCATACCGCCCTTTGCGTACGAGATGCCATGGCGATTCGGGGGCGAACCAGACGCCAACGAATAAGAAAGCAGCGAAGAATAGCTGGAGAGCGAATGGAGCGCGGTATGCCCACCTATCCTGTCGCTCTCCAAATCCTTTCACCGCGGCATTGGACAGAAGTTGACCTAGAGCAATACCGAGATTGACGCCAGCTGTAGAAAGACCACGGAGGACGACTGGAGTTATCTGTTCTGGATATCAGTATATGAATAGTCAAAAAGATCCGAATGTAATACCTCAGAAGTCATCAGAGGTCCGATTGTGAGGTAAAATCCTAGTCCGACTCCGAGTATCAATTTACTGATGACGAATGCCACTCTGGTCGCGGAGAGGATTTGGCCAATGATACCACCTGAGCAAACGACTACACCTATCAGCAGGGCATATCTTCGTCCAATGCGATCAGCCGACCAAGCGCAAATAAAGCCGCCGAAGAATTGTCCAATTGCGCCAACTGTATTGAAAGCGGTTTGCCAATCAGCTGGAAGAACAGGTTCACCTTCGAAAATGTAACCAAAATCACGTCGAAAAGATGGAACCCCAATCATGGCGCCGTTGACCTGGGCATCGAAACCCCTGAATTGAATTGTAAGCCTTCACAGAGTGTTGCAGAGAATCGTAGCATGATTTACCATCCCACAGCAGCCATTGCATAGAAGAACGACCACCATACCAAAGACGGGTGATGACGAGCGACGTATCTAAAAGTCAAGCCTTCTTCGTCGATCCTATCAGCTCTGATCGCATCCTCGTCGAAGTTGGGTTTGTCGTGGACGTTCTCACTTTGCTCCTTCGTGTGAGTGGTAAACTTCTCCATGATTTGACGACTGATGGGTCCACAAGAGATGCCAAAAGAGTAAGTGCCTTGTCGATGATGCTTCTCTTATGACTGGATCTGGGTAAATACTTATACTCATGAAACCCGGCATACTGATGCTGTGGTTCGACATAATTGCCAAACGTAGTCGGAGCAAGATGTCGGGAGACGCGATTCAAGGAGAGCGATACTCCCCGACAAGCTTGCCGCTAGTGATTGGGAATTCCAGACTGCCGGATATGTGCCGTTCTCCACGATATCCCCGCATCCGCACTTCCCAACACGGAAGGGAAGTTTTTCGAAACAAGGGGCGGATAGGGCCGAAATCACGTGAACGGAAGCGTTCTAGGCCATGCTTAACGTAATGAATACCTCCGAGTCACAGGGGCCAGTTAAAGCCGCCATTCCCCGGCGTAGACAACTCGACGTTTCGACGCACCCTCAACCGACATGCAGTCTGAACTTGCTCCCCGAAAACGCCCTGCGCCCCGAGGGACAGCTGCTTACCCCCGCAAAAGAGCCGTTGCCGCATGCCAAACTTGTCGATCCCGAAAAACCAAATGTGACAACCGGCGCCCGATTTGCTCCTTTTGCGAGGGTGCTGGAGCTACATGTATCTATTCCACACAGGACCTCTCCGCCTATGATCCGGCAAGTCTCGCTATTTTGGATCGTTTAGATCAGCTGGAAAGTACCTTGAAAGATCATGTGTCTGCCAACAGGCCGCCGACAGTCAGTGCTGAAGCCTTCGCGTCGCCTGACACTGTACGCTCGAATGGAATTGAGAGTATTATTACAGACACTCTCTCCATAGAACCTGATCTTGAGGCTGCAGATCCAAATTCAGATGTATCACTCCTGCCAAACACGATCGAAGACATACTTGCCTGGCCTCTCTTTCAGGGGCGTTACAACGAGCGGCTGAAGCTTATGGATTTACTATCTGTACCGTCATCCGCACAGACGATTGCCCCTGTGAGCCTGGATCTGGATGTCAACACGTGCAACATGCTGTCTGACCACTGCTTGGAGCACATTCTCAGTAAAAACCCAGTCCTTGAAGAAGACTATCTGCGTTCTGTTGTGAGTCAAGTCTGCCTGAATGGGGTCGGGTGGGATGTAGAATCTTGCCTCGTTCTCATTGTCTCTGCGCTCGGATGCATCGCACCCCCAACAGCCAGCGATATGGATTGGGCCATGGCAAGATCTTACTTTAGCGCCGCTCAACGTAGGATGGGCGCGCTAGTGGCCTCCGATGGTCTGATCAGCGCGCAGTGTTACTTTCTTGCAGGCGTTTACTACATGTACATTTTCAGACCGTTAGAAGCATGGCGGTTATTTGCGCAAGCCGTTGTCTGCATTTATCCGGATAATAGCAACACAGAAC